TCTTTCTTTCTTTCTTTCTTTCTTTCTTTCTTTCTTTCTCCATCTCAGGTGCCCATTTTACAGGTGATGCTTGATGCTTGCCATAAAGCTCCCTGGTGTTTATATAGAGTCGGATAAATCCACTCCAACGTCTTTTATAACTCTGTTTTATAAGCAGAAAGTTTTCTGTTTCCCCCTTTTTCAGAACTTGTGGGTTTTATGGGTTGGAAGACCTTGCAGAGGTCAAGGAAATGGCAAGGTCTATAGGAAGAAAGTTTACAGCCATGAAAGTTTATGGGGATGGTAGGTGGCCGCCAAACAAGATGTTTCAACACAGAGCTTGGGAAATATCACTTTCTTTGGATTGCAACTCCCAGAATCCCCCAGCCAGAACTGCCAAGCAAGATGTGGTTGTGTTTAAACACAGAACTTGGGAAATTTACTTCTTTGGGTTTCTTTTAATTGCAACTCCCAGTATCCCCAACCAACAGCACCAAATGAGATGTCTTGATGTTTAAACATAGAACTGGCAATGTTTCCTCCTTCTTCTTTTTCCCCAACACCGTGGAGGTTCAGTTTTCTCGTCCATATTTCTTCAGAGGAGCTTTGCTATGGCCTTCCCATGAGGCCGAGAGAGTGTGACTCACCCAAGGTCATCCAATGGGTTTTTAGGGTTGAGCAGGGAATCGAACCCTGTTCTCCAGAGTCATCATTCAACTCTCAAACCATTATGCCACAAAAAAAGAAGTTTTAAAATCCTGCACTCACAATTGTGGAGAGACGTCTCAATGATCTCAAGGGTGCTCTCCAATTTGTCCCATCTGTGGCCAACACATTGAGGCTAAAAGGCCAGGCTTGTTCTTCTACAGTGCCCTTCCTGTTTGGAAAATATTATTTTTCCGCATCACCCTTCTTGCAGGAGCTGACCCAGAAGCGTGCTGCATTTCTGGACCGCTCCTGTGATGTTTTCCAGTGCGGACGCCGAGAAGATCGATGGCAGGTTAAGTCAGCAGCTCTGCACTGACACAAGAGAGGAACACAACAGGCGAGGAGGGCACCCTCGACAAAACCCAAAGGTCACTGCACAAAAGGATGTCCTGCACGGCCGGTCAGGCTTTCTCATGTTGTTCTTTGCTGGTGTCACGAGGCACAGCTTCTAGAAACTCCAGAAATAATGCAGTTTGGCACTGCTTTAACTGCCTTGGCTCCATCCTACAGAGTCCTGGGATGCATAGTTTGGAAAGAAAGTCTTTTATTTATTGTGCTGTTATACCATCCAAGAAGCAGTGCTTTTTTGGCAGTTAACAACATATCCATAATATATAATTTTTATTTGTCATTTATTTAGAGTCATACCTGAGTGTGATCACTGCACTGAATTCTGTAGGACCATCCTCTGACAAAACCCCAAACAGGTTCGAATCAAGCAAAGCTGTCGAATATCCATAAGGTCAAGACCTGCAGCTCAAGAGTCACAAGAGCAAAGCTCTGTCCGTTCTGCATTCGGATCATCCATCGTTCCTGGTCATTCATCTATTTTCATCCAGCGCTTCTTCTTCTTTCTGTCTTTCCATTCTCCACTTCACCTTCTTCTCTGCATTCATCTTTAACAAGGTGTCATCTCTTTTTGCTGCCTGTGAGAGGGAAGAAAAAGGACATGTTTGTAGCAACAGGAGTTTGCAAACATTTGTGGGTTGGATTGCAAGTCCCAGAATCCACAAACCAGCATGGACAGTGGCCATGCTGGTTGAGGGATTTAGGGACTTGATTTTTTTTTTCTTTTAAGAGGACAGCTTTTGGGGCTCACTATAACAGCCGCAGTTCCATCCTAGAAAATGCCACGATTTATAATTTGGTGGAACAATGGCACTTCTCTGCTCCAGAGCTCTAGTTCTTTCCCTACAACTACAATACTAGAGGAGCCTTCTAGCAGAGGATTTTAGGTCCTCTGGATCCCTTTTGGGCAGAAAGGTGGAATATAAATCCAATACATAAATAAAAATAAATATTTATTTTTACCTCCCTAAATTGCAGATCCCAAGTTTTCTTAGGAGGGATTCACGGCGGTTAAAGTGAGGTCAAACTGGTATAACTGGCCATTGGTGGCCAGTGGGTACTGTGTCCAGGAGGCAGTGAATCCACTTCAAGATTTAAAGGGTATTTTCAAGATGCCTGTTCCTAAATAGGTCTGGAAATCCGGGGAACTCCTTTGAACCTCACCAAAAGCTAGAATGGATTCACTGCCCCTCTAAAATGGGAAATGTCAAACTTTGCTGCCAAGATGCACAGCCGGCATCATGTAGATTGTTGTGTCTTCAAGTTGTTTCTGACTTATGGAGACCCCAAGGTGACCCTATCATGGGGTTTTCTTGGCACTTTTCTTCAGATGGGGGTTTGCCATTGCCATCCTCTGAGGCTGAGAGAGCGTGACTTGCCCGAAGTCACTCAGTGGGTTTCCATGGCCAACCTTGGATTTGAACCCTGGTCCCTAGAGTCCTAGTCTAATTAGATAGTGGTTTCCTTTCTCATTTTTTTTATAGGGATCCCAGCAATAAAATAGGGATAAGGAAGTAATTTCTCCATTACATGCAAACCTAGGTGTGTTTTGGTATATGTGTGTGTGTTTGTGTAGCAAACTGGGATTCACAAGATTTCTTGGGCTGCATCTCTAATGCAGTTTGACATCACTTTGAGTGCTGAAGCTCCAGCCTATGGGATGTGTAGTTTTACAAGGTCTTTAGCCTTCCCTTCCAAAAAGTGTTGGTGCCTCACAAAACAACACATCCCAGAATGGATGTGGCAGTTAAAAGTGGTGCCAAATGGCATGATTTCGACCCACAGTCTGGGAAATGAAGGAAGACAATCTCGTACCATTTTCCCGGAGATGACCATTCCCAGACATCCCAGGAGAGTCAGGGCGATCATGATGTAGCAAACCCGGATCCGCAGCTGGTTATGAGCAGCCTTGAGCACTTCCACTCTGCAAAAACAGAGAAGCAGCAAAAGTTAAAAAGTTGGGGAGGTTGCAAGCACCAAGACCCAACGCTTGGGGAAATCCATGGTTTTGGACCACAGCAGCCAGATGCACAACCAGATGCACAACCAAAGGAATACAACCACTTGTAGCAAAGGCAGATGGGTACACATTGGCTAAGAGTGTGCAACTGCATCCATAAAACAACCCTGCAGTGGAAATCCTACCTTCCTTCGGTGTTGTGTAAATATCCCCCAACAAAGTTATCTTCCACTTCCCTTATACTGGACAGCAATGTAGCACAACAAATGTGTATTGGGTCCCAAAGTGCATGGCTGTCATCAAGTAGTGGAATGCACATGTACAACAAACAATGTGCAATGCACAATGCATGCTCCCAATGGGCAATGCTCTGTGCACATCTGCATTGCACAAAGCAAATGGTCCTTTTCACACTGCTTTCTGAAAGTTAAAGCACTTCTCCA